GTTGAAACAGTATGGACTAACATGGATGCAGGTGAAAAGTACAACAGAAGACAGAAGCAAGTGGAGACGTGCAATTGAAGCCATATGTTCCACTAGGAACCCAAGGGAACAATAATAATTATTATTTTATGCTGGTTTCTATCACAAGTGAATAAGCTACATGAAATCAATTATGTGACGCGACAGGTGTGAATGTCTTACAAGTCAAATTTAGATAGATAGATACGGGGTGGAAGGAGTACAAGAGGAACTCACCAACCAATCACAGCAGACTTAATGTGTGCAACTACGATTTGGAGATATATGGCCCTAATTATATAAGAAACGGTCACAAGCACTACAGAATAACCTTCAGCAACAAAACAACCAATCAGAAGACATTGCCTCTCTGCTAACAATAACGTTAATAATAATGTACATAAAAATCTATAAATATCTGTTGATTTTCTGAATAGACGATCTGTTTTCTGACCCTTGTCTTCCGTCGTTACACCAGAACGATTTAAAGTAGTGGCAGCGATAAAGGACAGTTCTAAATGGATTAAGAATAACGATCGGAGATAGGATAAAATACTCATGGATATAATAATAATAATAATAGTTAATAAGTAAAAGATATTACTATGGCAGATTCAGAGTGACTACCATTTCCTTCTGTACACAGAGACCTGGTTTATTAACTTTAACGACAAAAACCTCCATAAATGCAAACATCTTTCTGTTTTTATTTTGTCTGCTGGCAGCATTGAATCACTTGACAATGTGTGTTAATATCATCTCCGGAGTCTATAAAATGCTTTTTTTATTCAATATATATTCTGGTATCTTGATGATGATATTCATGATAGGTTAACACAGAGAAGATGGTAACATCAACAATAGGGATTATAAAACATCATCATCAGCAATGCATTCATATAAAAGAAGGAACCTTTGAGGAAAAGATTAACAATGGAAGCTTTGTTTATCGAATCAACTGAGAATAAATATGTACAATAAAGAATGATACAACATCTGGATATCTTTTTTTTCCTTCACGTTCCCAGTGGAACATAGGGCTTCAAGCTAGTGGCTTGAAGTTTCTGTAGCAGTGTTTATTTTTACAGGATGGGGTTGCTAGCCTTAAGCCCAACCTTTCCTCTTTACCAGGATTATTTCTGGCTTGGCGAGGTAAAGGAGTGCATCGGTGGCCGGGGATCGGACCCCGGACCATGTGCATGGTCGGTGAGCATGCTAACCTCTGCGCCACCGACGCACAATCTGCATATCTGGAAAATCGTAATCTCTTTACACAAAATGGGAAGAAAGAAAAAGAAGTACAACAATCAATTTTGTCGAAGGTGTTCACAGTTACAGCCGATATCATTATATACAATAATGAATCGTGTTCAAAACATCGTCATCCAGCAGATACTAATGTCCCATTGTGTGATATATGCAACAAACAAATTGACATAGAATTCAAAGTAATTAATTAGTACTGAATGGTGACTAGCAGTCGGATGGAAGATGCACATTTCGTCCTATTCGCGACTAGTCATCCGGATGTACCTGCATTGCCCGGTGAGTAATGGTATTCCCACTAAGACTTGAACCCAGTATTCATTGTGTCAAATGCCAAAACGTCATTTACTAGATATTGTCGACAAAGGTCGAACATTTCAGTCCAATCAATCAATGCCAGGCATCAGTACTTTATTAAATAATGTGGGATTTTTTTTTAACTCATGGAAAATTCCCATTGTAACATTTAGAAAATCAAAACAAGTGATTCAGCGAAGAGACTCTTTTCAACGAATTTATCATCAAGCTGTATAGTCGTATATATATGGTTTATCAGAAGTTATATCCGGTGAGGGAATTGAATCTTAGGTGTGAATGCACAAAATAATAATAATAATAATCATATGAAGTTCAATTAAAACTAAAATGTTAGTGATTATAGTCGTAGTTAAATGTCAAGTGGCAAAGCAGATTAATGTCATATATAGAATAATTCATAGGAGGGATAGAACTTGAAAAAGGATGTGCAATTATAGGATTAGTAGGCAAATCGAATAAAACAAAAACGTTACGTAATATTGTGTGAAATTTAATAGCATAGAATTTATCGTTGTAAAAAGAATTGATTTAGAATGACAAGTGGAACAAGTGAAATAATACCGGGGACAGTTCAAAGTGAGAATAGTAATAATAACAATTGACTTAATAAGGAAAAGTATACAAATTGAATAGACAAAATGAAAAATGAAAAATTAGTAGAGCTAAAATATGATTGGGGATTACCATATTTTAGCATAGAGGGATTAAGACCATGAAAGTTGGAGGGGTTGAACGAACTTTTTCTGTACACAGAGATCTGGCTTTTCTGTTTCGATAGCCAAAGCTTCAGCAATACAGATGAGTCGGGTACGTAGGGATTTAGGTAGATTGCTCTTTGCCTTGTAGATGACTTTAAAGGCGGAGGCTATAGAGATAGGGTGATCATTTTCGACCAGATGTTCTATGATCGCGCTTCTTATTGCTCCACTTCCACCTTTTCGTAGCCATGCAGGATAATGTTCTTGCACCCTCTTGGACAAAACTCGAGTCGAACGACCGATATACCTAGCTCCACAAGAGCAGGTGAATTGATAAACGCACATAGAGTTGGTCAACATTGGGATCTTGTCCTTCAGGTTATTGAACAATAATGGTCGGCTAGTAAAAGCTATTCTCAGGGAGGCAGCAGGGAATGTTCTTTTCAGGGACTGTGATATCCTTCGTTTCATGATATCGGAAGCTAAGTCCCCTTTGAATTCTAAGCTCATGTGAAGTATTTTCTTGGGAGCGGTTGATAAGTCACGTTTTGTAGGCTTTGAATGTATATTCTTATCTATAAAACGTGGTGGAAATCCATTTTCCATTAGGATTTTCCTCAAAGTGTATAACTCATCTTCCACAGTATCAGTGCTACATATGCGCCGAATACGAGTGGCAAGCGACCGGACCAGGTTTCGTTTACGACCAATAGGTACCCAGCTATAGAAATTTGTCAGTTGACCATTCCATAACAGCCTACGATAAATCGATCTCTTCAGAGTTCCATCGGTCCTTCTTGATAAGTTCACATCGAGGAAATGAATGCTAGACTCGTTCTCCATTTCGAGTGTGAATTTTATCGCAGGATGGCACTCATTAAATACACTTAATATATTATTCAGGTCACAATCAATATTACAAATAATAAAGGTGTCATCTACATACCTTTTATATATTTGAAAGCTTTGGATCATAGGCTTCAGGGAACCATTTTCTAGACTGGACATAGCCTATGATCCAAAGCTTTCAAATATATAAAAGGTATGTAGATGACACCTTTATTATTTGTAATATTGATTGTGACCTGAATAATATATTAAGTGTATTTAATGAGTGCCATCCTGCGATAAAATTCACACTCGAAATGGAGAACGAGTCTAGCATTCATTTCCTCGATGTGAACTTATCAAGAAGGACCGATGGAACTCTGAAGAGATCGATTTATCGTAGGCTGTTATGGAATGGTCAACTGACAAATTTCTATAGCTGGGTACCTATTGGTCGTAAACGAAACCTGGTCCGGTCGCTTGCCACTCGTATTCGGCGCATATGTAGCACTGATACTGTGGAAGATGAGTTATACACTTTGAGGAAAATCCTAATGGAAAATGGATTTCCACCACGTTTTATAGATAAGAATATACATTCAAAGCCTACAAAACGTGACTTATCAACCGCTCCCAAGAAAATACTTCACATGAGCTTAGAATTCAAAGGGGACTTAGCTTCCGATATCATGAAACGAAGGATATCACAGTCCCTGAAAAGAACATTCCCTGCTGCCTCCCTGAGAATAGCTTTTACTAGCCGACCATTATTGTTCAATAACCTGAAGGACAAGATCCCAATGTTGACCAACTCTATGTGCGTTTATCAATTCACCTGCTCTTGTGGAGCTAGGTATATCGGTCGTTCGACTCGAGTTTTGTCCAAGAGGGTGCAAGAACATTATCCTGCATGGCTACGAAAAGGTGGAAGTGGAGCAATAAGAAGCGCGATCATAGAACATCTGGTCGAAAATGATCACCCTATCTCTATAGCCTCCGCCTTTAAAGTCATCTACAAGGCAAAGAGCAATCTACCTAAATCCCTACGTACCCGACTCATCTGTATTGCTGAAGCTTTGGCTATCGAAACAGAAAAGCCAGATCTCTGTGTACAGAAAAAGTTCGTTCAACCCCTCCAACTTTCATGGTCTTAATCCCTCTATGCTAAAATATGGTAATCCCCAATCATATTTTAGCTCTACTAATTTTTCATTTTTCATTTTGTCTATTCAATTTGTATACTTTTCCTTATTAAGTCAATTGTTATTATTACTATTCTCACTTTGAACTGTCCCCGGTATTATTTCACTTGTTCCACTTGTCATTCTAAATCAATTCTTTTTACAACGATAAATTCTATGCTATTAAATTTCACACAATATTACGTAACGTTTTTGTTTTATTCGATTTGCCTACTAATCCTATAATTGCACATCCTTTTTCAAGTTCTATCCCTCCTATGAATTATTCTATATATGACATTAATCTGCTTTGCCACTTGACATTTAACTACGACTATAATCACTAACATTTTAGTTTTAATTGAACTTCATATGATTATTATTATTATTATTTTGTGCATTCACACCTAAGATTCAATTCCCTCACCGGATATAACTTCTTATTAACATTTGTCGTTTCTCTCTGCCCCCTCACTCCACCCAACCTAGATTTGTGTCACCATTGCAACTTATAAATGAATTCATTCCTTGGCTTGTTGATGTTCTATTTCATGATTGATATATGAAAGCTCTTTTATTGGATCTTAGTGATTTCTTTCTGTACATTGACAATGATTCTTGTTTCTGGTTGATAAAAGCTGTTTTTATTTGTTATGTTTTCTAAATTTTTATTTTTGTCGAATTTTCTCAGGTGTATTGCAATCACCGTTTGTCTTATTACCTCGGTTGATAGACTTTTTACTCAAATTTAACTCAAAGGTGTTTTACAAGCGTTTACTACGTTTCACTGAAGAACAGTTAGTTACTAAGATGATCTCTAAGGTGAGTAAAATTAAGATTTAGACATCCTGTTAGGGTGTCTATCTTTATTAACATAAGTTAATTCGATCTTAGTACATACTGGCTTCCTTTTAATAACTACATTATATGATTTTAAAATTTAAGGCAAATTATCCCATCAAATTACAATCGATTTGTCATAAATCATAATATATTATAATTATCTGTGGTTCTCAGTGGGAAATAGGGCTTCAGCAACACATTTCCACTATGTGGTGTGTTCTGCAGCTCTCTTCAGGAAACTTTACGACTGTCCATATACTCTTATCTCGTCCGCATACTATGGTCTCTATGTCACCCACTTGGGTTCCACTCTGTGGGCCTGTTTCGTATGTGATGTCGCTCAGAGCTCTTCTCACTGTGCATCCAAACCGTCTTTATTTCCTTCGGTATATTTTTGGGACAATAGGTTGTTGTTTTGCCGGAACTCCTTGATGGTAATTCTTTCTGGTCTACAGTCTAATCTTCATTTTGAAGCGAAGGCAGCTGTAGTTAAAAATCTGCAATATCCTGTTGGAAATGCTTTTCATGACGCATTGAAAATCCGAATTTTCTTCTTTATTCTGAGTGCAGAAGATTTTGCAAACCGATTTCAGAGTGATGAAGGTCTTGCCTTTCCAGTTCTCATTTTGTGATATCCTAATTTGTGTTGTCTGCAGTTGAAATGATACTGCTCATATAATTGAAAGTAGTGACGCCTTTCAAATGTCTCCTGTTTGATAGTGATTGGTGCTTGTCGTTGTTGGTTGGTTATTTCTACCACCTCCGTCTTCTCTATGTTCACTTGGAGTCCTATCTGCTCTGCTTCTTCAGCCACTTTGTGGTTTTTCGCCTGCAATTCTTCAAATTTGTGACATTAAACGTAAATCATTCACAAAATCCATATCTTCTAGAGTCTTCTTGTCGGTCCAGGGTATTCCTGTCTTCCCGTTCAGCACAATGTGACGCATAATCCAGTCCACTACAATTGACTGTCTGATTGGTTTCAACGTAGAACTTTCCACAGATGTCCAGCAGTTCGAGTTGCCATACTCCCTCCATGTAGCACACAAAGCAAGAGAAGAGTGTAAAGAGAGGTAATAAACAGAAATGTGTAGCAAAAAGAAGAGTATTATGAAAGAACACTCGATTTTTATTGGATATGAGAAATTACCAAGAGCGAATGTATCTGCGTCAGCCATTGAGAGCGATTTTGAACCATGTCACCTATAGTCTCCATCCCCTGGCTTATACCATCCCGAGGACCCCAACCAGACACCAGTCTAGACTGCTCTACGTGGATGACTTAAACTAATTGTTGTGGATTCTGCTGATTGATGAAGTCATGTTATAGTTTGACTACCACTGGCTCTTTTCCAACCTGATCCACCATACGTCAGTGGCTAACGCACTGCCCGTCGATGAAAGCGATCGGTGGCTAGGCATGAGTAACACATGTCCTAACCACCTCACTCAATCGATGTAACTTCACAGCCTCGTCGGCTGATTTCCCCTCTTTACCTAGCACTCGACCGAATCCCAACCTGAATATTTCTCACCTTATTATACCACTTAATACGGGAGTTAGAAGGCAAGTACTTTTGATCAAAGATAGCCAGCCTTCTCGTATCTCTCACTTTCAATGGTTATGTATCATTCATAGCCAGTGAGGAGGACAAAGCGAATCCTTTGATCAACAACCAGTTGGATATCACGTCTGCGCCAGAGATAGCGCAAGTTGGCATATGTCAAGTGATCCTTCTGTATCCGTTCTGAAATTTCGTCAGCGATTAACCCCTTTGGTGCTACAGTTATGAGTATCATCAGTGTTAGTGGTCAGTCTTGTGTCACTCTCTTGCCTTCACTTTAAAGGCTTCGCTGAGTTTTCTGTTGCGAATCACTTGGTATGTTGGATTGTCGTATAGCTGTTGAATGAATACGACGAAGAATTGGGCCACATCATATTTTTGAATTAGTTTCATAGGAAACGCTGTTGAAGGTTTTTTTGAAAGTCAATGAAGTTGAGGTAGAGATATGACTACTGTTCAATGGTTGATGCCTAGAATTGAAGTTTGATCCGCCATGATTTGCTTTTACATATCCCGTCTTTTTCCAGACGGAATTTCGCATCTGTTGCAGTCTTTCTAGCATTGTATGACTTAATATTTTTCTCAGTGTGGACAGGAGTATGATTTCACGTTGGCATATTCACACTGACCTATGCTACCCTTCCTTTGTAGCTTGACAAAGTAGCCTTTCTTTCAATTAGTAGGTGCCTTTCTTTCCTTTCAAACTTTTTAGTCTTCAGACTTTGAAGTCATATTCCTGATCATATCGAGTTCGGCAATCGAATGACCCGTGGATTCTAACTTCCTTCAGTTGATAACAGTAATATAGGGCTAGGACACTCATCCTTGTCATTGGTGAGCAGCTGACGTAATGCACCTCTTCCCCCCCACCTACTTTCCATCCTGCAACCAATCACTATTGTAGAGATATTCAGATTATGTCTTTTTTATGGTTTCAATTAACTTTAAAGTAGACCTTGTTTTGATACCAGCTAATTATGAGGTGTTGACAGATGATTTTCTGTTACGCATAACATTACGCATCATGTTATGATACAAGGGAAACTAGAAATTCAGAACAGTGTGTGTTGTGAACTCTTCTAGTCCAAATGGTGCTTTATTTGTCTGCAGAAGATAATCAACAGATGGCTCGTTACTGAAGATCAAATGGCCGGCCAGAAAGCATTACGAACAAGGAAATTTGCCAACGAACTAATCGAGAAATCATTGCTCAGTAAAATGCTAGAGCATACGGAGGTGGGTTGAACATACATTGAGGTCGCAACCATTAAGCGGCATCATCAAACAGACATGTTCTTGAGTAGAACTCCAGTGGGTAACGATGAGTTGGGTCTGCGTTGGAAGATGAAATGTAAGGGGATCGTGTGAGGAATAAACGTAAACAGATGAGCAATTTTTGAGTCAGCTAAAATGGTCTACAGAGAAGAAGGTGGAGTGGATATATGCCCTATGTTCCAATAGGAATCCAAAAAAATACGAAGAAGACGAACTGACATGTGGAACAGTTAGCCCACCCGAAACTTCTTACATTTTACAATGGAAGGAAAATTTTATTTTATTTTTTTTTTGCATAGTGAAACTTGAATGTTTGGACGATACCTGAGTTGTGCAGAGTATTTTTCTGATTTTCAAAAGAATGGATACTGAACAAAGAGTACTCTTTTCGATAAATTCATCATCAGGCCCTACAGTTATATATACATTATAGTGAATGAATGAATTAGTGTTATGAACAACATTAATGCTGTTCAAATAACATCGAATCAATAATATTAATAGATTACAGCTCAATAGCATCAACATAAAATAAGCTGAATGTCAGAAGAATTAGGAAAGATAATATTACAAATTCATGAATTTATAGTTTCTACTGAAGGCCGGTCAGGGCAGTAGTAGGGGCTAGGCTTGCTTCTTTGAACACAGAACACTGGTTGTTTGAGGCGAATTGCAATAGCCTTTGCTGTTCGGAGCATGCGGGGCTTCGGTGATTTTGGCAATTTATTAGTTACCCGGTAGTTTATAGAGAAGGATTCTTCAACGCTGGCTTTGTGGCCATCCGGTTTGTACCAGATGGTCCAATATCGAACTGTTAATGGTTTTCACTACACCTTTACTTAGCCATGCTGGGATATGTTCTCGAGTTGGCACGAAAAATCAAGTTCCTAGAGCAACGGCCGATATAACTCACCCCACAAGCGCAGCTGAATTGGTGGATACAATTTGAAGTGGCCAGCTAGTCTAGGTACTTCATCTTTCAGTCGAGGTAGAACCATCGGTCGTGTAGAGAATAATACGTGTAGTTCGCCAGCATTAAAAGTTCTTTGAACTGATTTTTTTAATTTCCTCGTAATTATCTCACTTGGTATATCGCCCTTGAATTTTAGTCGTATATAAAGTGGCTTCTTGTTTACACATAGTGAGTAGTCCTTTTCCGCTTTCTTTGTCATGTGTTTTTTGACAAATTTGTCGGGATAGGTATTTTCGATCAAAGTATCATATACAATGCTTAATTCATCTTCAATTACTTCTTCTGAGCATATAGCTCTAACTCTGTGGCTGAGGGTCTTCACTAAATTTCTTTTGTACGTGATGGGAACGAAGCTGTGAAAATGTGTATATTGTCCTATCCAAGTACTTTTTCTATGCAAATTTCTTTTTATCCTACCATATGGTTTCCTTGTAAGTAGGACATCCAGGAAGGCGATTCTGTCTTGGGATTCCTCTTCTCTTGTGAATTTCATAGCCGAATGTACTTCATTGAATTCAGTAATCATTGTTCTCCTATCAGAATGAAGGTATCATCCATATATCGGCAATAAAATGAGAGCTTACTGATAAGGTTGCCCAACGGGCTGATCTCTGACGAAATCTCAGCACGAATACAAGGGGCTCGTTTCGCATTTGTTAGTTTACGCCGACTCTGGCGTAGACGAGATGTTCGACTATCGACCAAAGGGCGGGTGTACTGCTCATCAGTCCGCTCCGTCCTCCTTTATGGTTGTGAGACCTGGCCACTGAGAGTGGAAGACATGAAGAAACTAGCTGTCTTTGATCATAGGTGCCTGCGCTCTATTTCCCGTGTAAAGTGGCATAATAAGGTGAGCAACATTGAGGTTAGGCGTCTAGTTCTAGGTAAACAGGGGAAATCAATCGACGAAGTTGTGAAGCTACAAAGACTGAGATGGTTAGGACATGTGTTACGTATGCCAAGCCATCGCCTCCCTCGACGAGCAATGTTAGCGGATATAGGGTCAGACTGGAAAAAAGCTAGCGGCGGTCAAACAAAAACTTGGCATCAGTCAATGAAATCCACAACAGTTGGTCTTAGCCACGTACGAAGGTGTAGACTTCCAGGCTGGGGTCCTCGGGACGGTAAAAATCTATGGTTGGAAACAATTGGTGACATGGCTCAAAACCGTTCTCAGTGGCGCAGATGCATCCACTCCCTGTGACTTATGATCTTCAATGGAACTGTTTTGTATTTCTTTATTACTCCTTTGTCTCACACCTCTGCTCACTGTTTCTATTATGCTTTTCTTGTACTTTCTTCTCTTGCTTCGCGTGCTACACGGAATGTGGCGACTTGAACTTCCGCACATTTGTGCAAAGTTCTATGTCGAAAACAGACAGACAGGTTGTTCAAAGGTCCATTTTCTAGCTTACTTAGAAAGAAATCAGCCAGAATGGAACCCAATGGGGGTCCCATCGCCACCGCGTCCACTTGCCTGTAAAGCGTGCCGTCTAATTTGAAGTCTACATTCATGATACATTTTAATATCGATTCTTTTAGGATTTTTCTGATTGTCTATGTATATATGATGAGATTAGATAATTATAATCACTTAACTGGAAGACTCTACTATCATAATCCTTGGCGCATAAGCATCATACATTTTTCCATTATATTATTGGATTACCATTTAACACATCTTCATCCCTTTTTTTTACATTATTATTATTTTATATAGAGAGGTGAATGTACGCGCATGCCTATAGTTCAACAGACAACATTTGAAGAAGAGTATGACACAGTGGAGTTAATCAAAATTCTATTCAGGAGCTTTTCAAAATCATCAAAGTCTGTTGAAAATAATAATAATAATAACAATAATAATAATATAAGTGTAGATATTAAACGACATGACTCTTTACTTCACATGATGAATTCTTCCATTGATGAAGTATTCTGTTGTAATGAAATTGAACTCAATGAACTCTATGATCTTTCCATGTGTAAACCTGATACTTTGACTACTCTTTACTTAAATAGGTATATTATGAATTGTCGTACCAGATGTTTTTAAAACAAAAATAATACACAGTTTTATACTTTGTACTTTTGAGTTCTCTTCAACTGGCTCCTTGTGATCTGATCATTGATAATATGCACTTGGTGGTAGTTTGCGCAAACGAATTTTTTTTACCTAGTTGATTCGCGAGTGTGCTGTTCTAATCACTATTAGCAATAACAACAACGATACGATATCACCGAAACTGTTATGCAAGAAGACAACAAGAGAGGATCTACCGTTGACATAGAGAGCTTTTTCCCTCTCCTATTAACAGCCAATAAGATTACAAGTGAAAAGAGGGAAATACAACTAACAGTGTAAAGATTAATGTAGTACTTTAGGAAAATTAGGCCTACGTAACACGTCCCTAATCAAAGAAAAGGAAATGAACGTGTACGATAAAACTAGTACTTTCTTCTTCTTTTGGTCAACTTGAAATTGTACCGTCTAGAATCTCTTGCGACCGGATCGCCTTCTGGGCTGAGATTCCTTCTTGTTCGTCGACTCCCGTTTGGCTACTTTCGTATCAACTGGAGGTAGTTTAAATGTCTATTTTATTTATTTATATTTTTGAATATTTTTTTTTCTTGGATTACAGCTTGATTCCTCAGTGTATTTTTGGTACAAGTATGGAATTTTCAATATGGATATCGGTAGCCCAACTTTTGTAGGCCGACCATAGATACCAGGTGTGCGTCGGCAGGGGATCGAACCTCGGACCATGTGCATGGTCGGCGACAGTCCTAACCACTGTGCCACCGAAAAAAAATAATAATTGTCTTCGCTCAAGATCAGATGGCCAGTAAAGAGCAGGAACAGGGATCTCTGGGAGCAAACCAACCAGGAACCGATAGTGAAACAAATAGGTAGGAAGAAATGGAGATGGATTGGTCATACTTTGAGGAAACCATCAAGTGACATCACTAGACAGGCTATTGCTCGAGTGGAACCCGAAAGGGAAGCGGCGAGTTGGTCGTCAGAGTGAGGGTGACTTGGAGGAGGTCATGTGGGGGAGGAGATGAAAGCGTGTGGGCAGACTTGGAGCGGGGTGAAAAGGTTGGCAGAAAACCGAACGCAATGGAGACGCGCGGCTGAAGCCCTATTTTCCTCTAGAAATCAAAGGATGTAATAATAACAAATAATAAAGCAGGATTTAATGAATTCATCAAATTTCTGTAGAACTCGTCAGCTGAATACTCTACATACACGAATATATATACTTTTGAAATTACATAGGGAGATATAAGACTGATAAGTAAACAAACTACGTTGAATTAATCATGCAGAGAGACAGGTGCGAATGTTTCCCAGGTTGTGTTCAAATAGATAAGGGGAGAGAGAGTATGAGAGATCAAAATTAAGATAGAATGCATTACGCTTCAATTACATCACTTAGATAGACAATTAGACATTAGAGAATATATTAAGGATTGCAAACAGAGTAATATCAATAGTAATGGTTATAATAACGATTATGGTAATAGTGTTGAAGTGAGTTAAGATAATCCTAGTGATAAAGGATAGTTTTAAATGAATCAAGAATAATAATAGTATTAATAATAATAAGAGGTAGAATAATAAGTAAAAGGTATTACCATGGTAGATTCAGAATGACGACCATCTCCTTTTGTACGGAGAGACCTGGTTTATAAACTCGAATCGCACAAGCCTCTGCAGTTGCAAGCATCTTCCTGTTTCTTTATCTGATGACAATAGTGAATGACTTGACAGCGTGGATATCATGTCCATAGTCCACAAGATGTTTTGTTATTGCGGTTTTTGGCACTTTGCACTCTCCTGTTTTCAACCATTTTGGCAAATGCTCCATCATGCGAGTAGACAATCGCCTTTCTGTACGACCTATGTATTTGCTTCCACAAACACACTAAAATTGATATACGCAGTTTGAAGTGTCGAGGATTGGCAACTGGTTTTTCCCAGATTGTTGAAGCACTCGCTTGGTGGTGTTAAGGAAAACAAGCTTTGCAGCATAATAAGTTGCTGAGAATTCCATTCTGTATCACAAGTACTGATTTGGAATAAAGCTTATGTTATGTTATGTCTTGATAGCTTTATCAAGTCTTTGTTTGACTACTTCCTATACATCATCTCCTTTGAATGGCAAACTGATATAGACAGATTTCTTCGGAACTTTTTGGACAGCTTTGCAGAGGCTAATTTCTTCAGAGTATTTATTACTGAACTTCTCGGGATACCCATTCTTAAATAAAATATCCTTCATAGCTTTTATTTCATGGTCAATAGTACTGTCAGAATAAATTTTCCATGCTTTGTTGAACAGTGTTCTGACTAAGTTCTTTTTATATTGGATTAGAACAAAGTACTGTCCTGTCCATGAAGACTTTCTAAATATAGATCTTTCGGTTGTGCCATCATTCATTTTCGCTAGAAAAACGTCTAGGAATTTGATAGTATCCTTTTCCTCGTGTTCTCTTGTGAAACTGAGATTCGGATGCCTGGCGAGTTCTACCAAAATTTGATGAATTCATTAAATCCTGCTTTATTAACCTTTTTGCTGATTTTAAAATTAGAAAGCTTAGATTAGAAAGAACTATGCAATACGTTGAGAGATGCCCTGCGCTCTTCACCGGGTTGACTGTCCATTGGATGACAGTCTAGGGGAGATGGCTAAACCCTGATTCCAAACCTCCAACGACTGGCGTATGAAGCTCATGGAGCTCACCGGCAGACGTATGGACAAAGGGCTTGTTGGATGTCCTGGATGTCTGGCCCCATTCAAAAAGGCGTATGAACCGAACTCCGGTCACCGGCTGCCAATGGATAGTGGACTCCCTACTCCACTCCTACTGCCTTGTAGGTCACACTTGGCTGTGTAAAGGCTAGAGCTGCACTCTCAAACAAAAGGCCGAGCGATGCTGGGGACATCACTCGTACCAAATTCCCATGAAACTTCATGAACTCTCTTACAAACAACTCTCACCATGCTACGGCGTTCCCGGTAAGCGACGCGCCCTGTGCTCACCCGGTGGCCAGTGTGAAAAGTAAGCTAGCTGGGAAATTAACACTTAGAAACCAACTATTTGTTGGCTGCTGGAATGTTAGGACGCTGTTGGATCCTGGTAGCCAGTCTATCACCATGCGTTCTTTATACGACTACAAGGTGGACATAGCGTGTCTATCTGAAGTGAGGTTACCCGATCATGGCTCCCGCCGAATAGCCGTACCTGGAACAGATTCTTCATTCTGGTTGCTTCATAGTGGACCCCAGAATAATTCGGGACAACATGGGGTAGCATTTGCTCTCAGTAACAAAGCCAATAATGCCCTAATATCATTCGAACCGGTCAACTCCAGAGTTGCAGTCGCTAGGTTCAAGGGTTCCCCGCTCGACATTTCTGTTCTCGCTGTCTATGCCCCAACCCTCGACTCTGATGAAAGTATCAAAGACGAATTTTATGACAATCTTCAAGAGGCAATCAACAAAATCCCAAAGCGTGACGTTCTCATAGTAGCCGGCGATTGGAACGCCCGCACTGGCCCTTCAGACGACGCGACAAAACATATACTAGGCAAACACGGTCTCGATCAGCGCTGCCGTAATGGTGATAGACTTTTAGCTTTTTCTGATTACAATCGATTATATATCACCAACACTCGATTTCAACACCCCAGAAAACATCTTCTCACCTGGTATTCGAACGACGGTCGCACTGCACATCAGATCGACTACATCCTAGTGCGCTCACGCTGGATCTCCTCGGTGGAAGACTGTCGATCCTATCGTGGAGCAGAGGCCGGAAATAAAGGGGGATCAGACCATACTCTAGTTAGGGCGAAATTCAAACTTCGTTTAACGACACGCCAGAAGGCGCGACCTCCGAAGCGTATCAATGTTGCCCCGCTTCAATGTTCGACAAAGCGACAAGCCTTGTCCAAACAAATCCAGGCCGAACTAAGCGCCGCAGATGAACCAACATCCACATCTTCTAATACACCTGAGACACGATGGAATCATTTCAAAGAAGTAGTCTCTAAAGCTTCAATGTCGCATTTGGGTACCACATCCAAGAAGCAGAAAGACTGGATTTCAGAGCACACCATGCATCTATCCTCGCAAGCCAGAGACGCTCGCCTAGCAAAGTCTCCAGTTTATCGCTCCCTCAGGCGCAAAGCTACACAGTCTGCTAGGAATGACAGAAATCGCTATTGGTCTAACGTGGCGACTAACATGGAAGCAGCATCAAATGTAGGCGATTTCGGAAAACTTTATCGCCTCATACGCCAATCATCTGGCAAACGCCTTAACAGTCATGCTGTGTTACGCACAGCATCAGGAGAAATTATTTCGGACACCAATGGTAAGATGGAACGATGGGCCGAACATTTCAAGCAGCTACTCAATCGCAACGCTGGTCAACCGTCTCATCGACCGATACGACACTTACCAACACCCTACGTAGTTGACTGCGATCCACCCACTCCAACCGAAATAGCTAAAACAATTAACAGACTCAGAAACAAAAAAGCTCCGGGCGAAGATGGTCTACCTCCAGAAATATACAAGGCCTGCACTCCAGCGCTAATCGATGCGCTGCACTCGCTGTTCTGCTCAATTTGGGAGTCCGAAACCATTCCTTCCGATTGGAGCACCTCAGTTCTGCTACCGTTCCACAAAAAGGGAGACAGGTCAATATGCGAGAACTACCGAGGCATAAGTCTGATTGATATCGCTGCTAAGGTTTTTGTTTCCATTCTCCTGAACCGCTTCGCGGCCGAACGCCACGTGCGAACAAGGCCAAATCAAGCCGGATTTCGACCTGGAAGAGGCTGTGTTGATCAATTATTCACACTGCGAAGAATTTTGGAACACAGGGACAAATTCCAACAGCCGACGGTTGCTTGCTTCATCGACTTCCAAGCGGCATTCGACTCAGTTGATCGAGGAGCACTCTGGTATCTAATGGAGCTCGACGGAGTTCCGACCAAGCTAATCAACCTGCTCAGGTCATACTACTCCAACACCAAAGCTC